TTGCAGGTCGTTGGACGTTGGTGCATGGGAGTAGGTCCGTGACTGATAGCCACAGTTCAAGCACAGAGGTACACTGCGCGTGGCGTGCCGGGCCTACACAGGCCCAGCTGATATGGAGCCTTGACCTTAACTCATCACTGCGAAATAACTATTCCCCAATGCTAGTGATCGAAAAGTCTGACCCCATAACAATGGAGTTGGAGCTCAACTCCAATAGATTGTGTGCCATGAACTCTGCAATCACCGTTGTCTGTTATGACCTGTTGTTTATTGCCAAAGGGCATGTATTTATGGGAGCATGTGAATATGCAGATAAATATTACTGGCAGTCGTAATATATCCTTGTGGGAGAAAATAAACACAGAACCACCAAACCATGGTGAATGAAAAACACATGAGTGTTTAGATTTTCTCAAACTGTCATGGTTGGGCGGGGGGGTGGGCTGGAATTCCTACGGAAGATTGTGAGCCATCAATAATGTATTAACGGCTACAATGTATTTTTTGCAAAAAAAATTGGTTCAGTAGCCAGGGTTAACCCACTGGTGGATGAAGGCCTCCAGCTCTCACCATCTGCAATGTAACCAATGTTTTACTTTGTTTTCTCAAGATGCCAGCAAGAGAATGGGGGTGGGGGATGTCTTGTGCCTGCTGACAAAAAAAACCCAAAAAAGATGTTCTGTAGAGTCACGGCAAATTTCCGTGAGGTGGTTAAAGGATTTCCGTGAATTTCCTTGCGGCCGCTGTGTGAGCCAACGGTGCGGGCCGCATCATGCCGCCCGAATTAACGTCAAAGGAAGTGCGCTCGTTCTTCAGAGAAGCGGTCATTTTACAGAAGAAAAAAGGTCTGGTTTGCATTAAATCCCCTGCCCAGGCTTAGAGTGGCCAGAGGGCATAATAACAAGGGTCGATATTGAGTGCCCCCTACGTACACGGAGCAGCGCTCCCCGGATCGCGACAGCCTCGTCCGTCCCCCTAGGCAACTCCCCGAACTCCGCATCCTGCCTCTACCACCCCCCCCCACCCCCTTCACCAATGCCAAAGGACTTCAGGATGTTGGTAGTGAACATGCACGCATCTCTGCATGCCAGAGGGTTTCAGACAACACCTGAAAGTATTGCAAACGCACTTCGATATATGCAGTCATGCTGTGCCAGTCAAAACACAAGCAAGCAAACACACATCTGCCGCTGCTATTCCCAACAGGTGCCATCGAAATGATGGGGGTATTCAAAACACTGGGATGGGGCATGGATGGCTGAGACCAATCAGTGTGTCTGCCTCGCTCTGTGGTCAAAAAGTGCACACAACAACGGTTCACTTGAACAAAAATATCGCAGTTCTTGCAAAATATTATTAAAAGTGTTGGCAATGGTTTGACTAGTATTGAGTATCTCTGTCGAAATTGCTCAGCAGCATGGTATGGGCTCGAGGCCTATTGATATCTAAGTTATTGCAATATGCATACTCTGGAGGCGAAATCATTATCAATTCAGTTCGCCAGTTCAATTCGCCCTGAACAACAAACGCCATATGTGTGTTGAAGTTTAGTCTCAGTCCACCTACGGTTTGGACAGCGAAGCAGACGTCCTGCTGTTTAATGTTGTCTCCTCAATGCAACAGCATTCCAGGCTTCGATCAGTGAGTGAGCGCGAGAGGGGCGCGGTATGCACACGTGCGTGCTTGTGTGGGGAGCGGTGCGAGGATCATCATGCAAAGCAACACTGGAACAAAAAATATCAGCCTTGACCCATGCCACCTCAGGTCGACTTGACCTAAAATGAACACCCGGGTACAGTAGAGAAAAAACACATCAGCCCTGGCGAGACAAAGATGGGCAGGCATGATGCTTGTCATACCACGGCTTAATATGTACTCACTTATAGCAACTTGTTTCTAACACGTAGACTTTCACGACCAATATTATTAATCATGAAGTTTACATTTACGCGATCGAACCCAAGATCTTTATCATAAGCACTTGGTCCTGTCGGTCCACAAGTCTGACAAGTGGGATGTCTAAATTTCTATTTCTTACTTACATCTGTGGGGCGAGTCAACCCATGGATGATGTTAATAATGCATTCACAAGATTTATAAGCAAGGAACGTAACACATATGTGCAATATCAAGTGCACACATAGCAGTTTATGGATCGGACCTCTCGCTAATCACACGCACGCATGAATAGTTTATTTTTCCTGCAGTAATAACAATTACTTCAACTTGGCAATCAATCAGACATTTCATTATGCCATAAGTTTGGTTGGCCAACTTGGTTATATTAAAGCAATCTCAGATTTGTTTTTTTCTTAGTTTATTTTGTTAAGCATGTATATTTTGTTAAAATTTCCCACACACAGCCTGTTTACAAATTATGATCTGGTTTTGTTGAAATCTAATAAATATACAGTACACACTGAGGGACGCTTTAGATGGATTATACCAGGAATTGTGTTTCTTTATTTAACTTAAAAACGTAATTTGTAAAATTAAAACAATACTGCATGCAATTCTATCGTATCAGGAAAATCGGTGGTTCGCTGCTCATGGTCATGGGGTCAGACTTTTGAAAAATAAGTCCAAGATGGCCACCCGAACATGGCACCGATTGTAAAAATCCCACATTCGTTCACAGACTATTACCAAGGATACTAATACAGACATTGTTTGAATCACAGGCTGCAATATTGCACTTTCAATTTTTTTTTCAATTCATGCTTTGGATTTCTTCATGTTGTGAAGTGTTGTTAATGAGGCCTACTAAAACACGTCCACGGCTAGTTGTTTTTTCCACCAGGTTCTAAGGCCTGCAGAAACAGGACGTTCAAAATTTAATTCTAAAACAATGTTATTTTCTCTTTGTATATGTACATCCAGGCGTCCTTCCTTCAAAAATATATCAACTTAAACAAGCGCGCACATTGCAGTTATGGACCAACATTGTAATTCACTCCTAAGTCATGACTAGGATAAATGGTGCAGTGGTTCACGTAAAGCTATAAACGCAGGAACCTGCGTTCGATTCCCGGCCACAGATTGACAAACCGGTAAAATATCTGAAACGGTTATGAACCAACCACTTCGCCAATCTCCACTGACCAACATGGTGAGGTATAGTCCACCAACACCCCCTGCCCCCACGTGATGGAAGGAAGCTTTCGTTCAGCACGGATTGACAACAGGCTGTAAACGATGAGGATTATTACTATCATCGATTTACAAAATTTTGTAGGTGTCACCAGACCTACACCACGTATGTTGCACGTAAGGCCAAGAAATGTGTCAAGGGCACTGTTGCATGCAACTCAGGCTGCTAAACCCAGGTGCTTGGAGCAGGCACATATACAATGCCACGTGCGTATTTCCTACTAATGTTCTTTTTATATGTTCCTGTATGTGTTCCTGTATATGTTAACTTGTGTCTGTGTTCCTGTATATGTCAGCGTGTGTGTGTGTCCCTGTACGTGATTGTGCATTCCCTACGGAGACGGCGGCCAGAATTCGATTCCTGCTCAACGTCACCATCGGTGACGAGCGTCTGTACCGTTGATGGGCCTCCCCTCGGTTGAATCAGCCACAGACGAGCAGCTGGTGCGGCGTGTAAACATCGTTCGCACCGGGGAGACACAGGCGACCGGGTGAGGTGCTGGCCACCCCACCCCCCTCGTCACCTCAAATGAGCACCTGGTGCGGTGTGTAAACACAGTGCCGGATTATCCTTGTAGCAAAAGTAGCTACATATGCTACTGGCCCTTCACTTTCAAGGGCCCCGCGATAAATTATTTCAAGCTATCAATTCTGGTTCAGTGATTCTGCACTTGCTCTATTAATATAGTACTATACTGCCTTCAACTTTTATGAACGACAGGGTGTTCTCTTTATACTTGACTTTACCGAAAGAACCAAAGAGTGGGTGTTTAAGGTTAGCGATTTGTCTTATTATCTGGCTGTATATCAAATGAAAAAATACAATTACTTCACCATGAAAGGCCATTTTTTATATTTATGTTTTTTTTAAATTCATGGCCCCTTTATAACATATGCTACAGGCCCCGCACTAGCTTAATCCGGCACTGCGTAAACATCGTTCCTACCGGGGAGACAAAGGCGACCCCTCGTGTGCCGTGCCGGCCTTAATAGGTGCTCGCTAACAGCACTTGCCCCCTCGAGACTGCTGAGTCTACACGGAGGTCGTTGTATGTCTGCTACGTTCCTGTGTACCCGGGGTTTGCCAATGTGGAGGAGGCCAGTGTCTCCCGTTCCTGGCGTGCATTACTGCTCCAGCTGATCACGCCGGGCTAAACCAAAACGCAGCCTCGATGGCAACGCTTCAAGGCCAAAGTGTGTATGCCGTGCAGTGTTTATTTGTCTCAAGGGCCAACACAGAACCGGATAATTAACAATAACAACCTAACTACACATTCTTCGTGTGTTTATGTTTATGCAGTGACATATTTTATTGTACAAAATAATCGTCAGCGTCCTTGCGGAGGATATAGCGAGCAAAATAAATACGCCTCCTCACATATATACACGTCCATCCCTCCACACCGGTGTGCTGATGAGACAGTGAACGGCAAAACGGGTCCTGCGTTTGCTTGTGTTGAAACTATGATGCTGAAACTATGCAGCATAAGGCCGTCGTGTAGGCTGTTATAAACACTCTTTTGTGATGTCGTCACCGTTTTCGATATCGCTGCAAGTTGCAGGGTGGGTATCCTCTTCGCCGCTGAATCTCAGAAACGTGTGAGCGGTCCGCGTGAATTTTATTTAAAGAGGCGTAGCGCCCTTGTTTTTGTACTCACCGCATAGAACCGTAGCAACACGACCACACTCTACGGTAGCTGGTGCCAAACTGTGCCACACACCCTCCCGCATGGCCTTGTGGGAGCCTCGATACCGACAAAGTTATTTTTTCTTCTGGTTCCGTTCCGATGACGTACAGGTGCAACATCGTAACGGGAAAGGGATAACAGTCGACATGGTGCGCGCATTACCTTCTCCATATGCTGGTAGTGCGTGCCCGCCGCGCCCGCCCCGCTCTGCTCCCTGGCGGCGCTGCCGCCCCCCTCCTGCCTGGCCAAGGACCCCCACCTGTGGCCCGACTTCTCCCCCTCCGCAGCGACGGTGCACGATCTCCCGGCGCCCCGCCGCCACCGCCGCCCCCCCCTCTTCTGCCGGCGGGGGTCGCGAGCGAGCGCGCGTTCCGCGGGGTAGCTCGCGTGCATCACCCCCGTGCCTGACACTCCCAGGGGCTCGAGGGCAAACGGGCGCCCGCCCAGCACCACCAGTCCGCTGCGGGCAGCACGGGGGCACACACACGGGGCAGCAGGTGGACAACGCTTCGGTCAACCACGTGCGAGGGTGCAGCCGCGGTGTTAGTGGCGAGCCCGCTGGGCCGGCAATCCCGAGGCTGTCGGCGTGGCCGTTGAAATGGGCAACCCCCGCCGCCCCCCCTCCCAACGGTCGGGCATGGCGAGGTGAGAAGTGGATACTCCAACCTCTTCCGAGATGTCTGGCTAAGTGTGGAAGAGTAGGCCAAATACCCCCTCGTAGCGGCTCCTTAGGAGCTTCCTGTCGTGGAGGCCCTCCTGCCAGCAGTGGGGTGAGCAAGCAGTTGGCCACTGTCTTCAGTATTTTCCCTTCACATTTTTGAGTTTTCCTGTGGAAACTCCACTTTATTCGTCAACGAAAAGTCCCCAAAAATAGAAATTGGGCAAAGATCTCAAATCCGTGCATTCCTTAAAAAACAACTCCCTCGTGCCTCAGTTTTCTGGCTAATAACCTCAAATTATGTGAATGGTGCTTTTGGCATCTTGGTATAGAGCCGGATGATTGTTTTCTTCTCCAAAATAAAACTCTTTATTACGCCACATGTTGGGCTACACAGTGACCTGAATGTCACGTTACTTCTGTAGACATTTTAAAGGATTAAAATAAAATTGCATCATACATCTGTGCACACCATAGATGATCTTAACTTTGAGTCTATTTGCCGAACAAACCGTAAGAGCAGGGCTTGACCAAACTAAGTGCGGTATGAAATAGTAAGCATGAACCTACCATACCCACATCTGGTATTCGCGGTTTATTTAGATATATTCTGTACTTGAGAACCCAGTTTTATCTTGGGCAAGAGCCCTGGAATTAGACCCATATTGTCGTCAGTGCCGGCTCAGATTTTTGCCTGCCCAGACGAAATTTTGGCTTGGAGGGTTGCTTGACCATACTTCACCATGCTGGTCATTGGGAGTTTAAAGGGGGGACACTGACCAGCTCAGATATCATTTTCCAGCGACGAAAACTGCGGCTGGTAACCACATTCAGCTTGATAGCGCAGTGTGCTAACTCCTGCGCCACCGTTCCACCCCTATTACATCTAGGCCTGACAAATGTGTCTATTTAATGGGATTGTACGTTACGAATAATTATTTATGTCCGGCGACCGAAGTTTGATCCCTAGCAATGGCTTACATCAGTGACACGTGATGTGCCACTTTAGCAGTGTGGTGAAGTATGGTCAGACGAACCCATGACCCAAACGGCATGGGGAGACTTTCATTATTAATAATGTCCAAGTGGTTCAGCTGGAGGTTGTTGTTGCAGTAGAGGACTCACTCGCAGTGCAAGCGTCATGGGTTTAAATCTCAGGGGAAGGTCAAACTCTGGTCTACTAGCATCTATATAACGGAGGTGTGTGTGACTGCAATATATGTACACATTCTAGATGAATTTTTGCACTCACTTTGTAAGCACACGTGCAATTGTGTGTGTTTTGTATGCCTGCATCTGGTGAGCATGTGTGCGTGCCATGTACAGTGTGTTTGAGTGGGAGTGTGCTGATATGCTTGTGCATTACGTACATACCGTACTGTATTTGAATGAGCGTGCACATGTGTGCGGATTACATAGAAGTACGTTAGGACGTATGCACGATGTACATGTAGCCGTAAGATTTCATAACAAGTGCGCACAACCCTTGCCTAAAGAAACTAAGAATAAGTGGGGCTAATGCAACTTTTCAATTTCTGACCGTGTAAGACATCTGTGGCGTGGATTTCCCTCCGACTGGCACAGCCTTGAACGAGTAATTGGTTCGGTGTGGCCACGCCACCCACTCGACTGCATATCGGTCGTAATCGGAACTCGCTAACCGCACTCGTCCCCGCAGTCTACTTGGGCTAAACAGGAGACATCTTCGTGCAAGCGTCTCGAGCGCCAGTCTGGACACGTGCACACTTGAATGCATTTTTCCGCCCGTGCCCGTCTGTGTGCGCAACTGCGGGAAGCGGCTGCCACACGTACGTCTGGTGGCGAGACGTTGACTACCTCGCCTGGTGTGCAAGAGGTCGTGGGTTCGATCCCGACGCTGACGCCTGCTGTATGTTTGGAGTTTGCGGTGTCTCTGTCACTGTCGTCGCGCGGATTTTTCTCCGGGTCCTCCGGTTTTTCCCTCCACATTTAGAACCGACGTGCACTGAAGAGTATTTGCCTGCGATACATTTGGACGAGCTATCGTCTGTGACGGCCAGGGCGCTTCTGAAAGAGCGCTGCATGGCTCAGTGGGGCCTCACCTGACAAAGTACAGAAATAGCTTTTAGTTTTAGTTCACTTTCACTTTCGCCCTCTCCCTTCGCGTGCGAGCGATGAATAAGCCGAGGAGCGGCCACTCCACGGGCGCCGCTCACCGAAGGCTGTCCGCCGCACGTGCTGGCAGAGACGGACGAGCCGGGAGCGCCCGCCACGGCGCCGTGGTAGAAACAGTGCCGCTGGTGACGGAGAGAGAGGGAAAGCCACTGGAGCCCAGCTCCAACATGTAAACACGCAGTCGCCGGCCGATAACATACCAACATACAAACATGTAAACATGCAGTTGCCAGCCAATAACATACAAACATGTAAACATGCAGTTGGTGGCCGATAACACCCGAACTTACAAAGGAAGACACAGCTTTGGTGATTGTTCCCGCGTGTATGCGCGGCCTCCGATGAGAACGGTTGGCTACGTACGGTGCGAAAAGGTCAACTTGAATGCATACATACGGTTCCTTGGTGATTGTGAACGACGCTATAACACATTAATCATATTTTGTGTATATATATGTACATAGTGTTTCACACGTAAGTGGGGGGTAATATAAAAGGGGTGACCTCCCATTTAAAGAAGGTTTATTGGTAGTTTAACAGAAGGATTTTGTTTCCCGAGTAGATGTCACGTGGAAAGGATTAGGGTAAGGTGAGAATGATCTGTAGGCCGAGGCGAGTGATCGTAATTGGGTTAACCGAGCTCGACTCGTCATAAAACGTAACTGGAGTAGCGCGACCAACATCATCGCTGGAGAGATGTCATCTTATACGGATTTATTTCGCGTCTAATTCGAAAGGGGCGTCGATCAAGGCCGCCAGCCGTTGTGCCTATCCCGACATTCCCATTAATTTCTAGGCTGGCCATGAGTAGCCCTTCCCACCCACAGTTCCCCAACAGTCGCTCCGATTTTACAGAGGGCGTTATGTGCGGGGCCACGCGAGTGCAGTGAGTGTTGGCAAAGTGACTATCCCTGGATTCAATGCCCGGTTCTGCATCTGATCTGGGCTTCCTCGGGATCAATTCAGATTTAATATCAGTTTTTGTATAAATATATTGAAATATATAGGCAAGTGTTCGTGTGTGTGCTACAGGTTACACCACGTGCTCGTGTGAGTCCTCTTATGGGCCCTCACTCACAGAAATTGGTCCAACAGTCGCGTGACTTAATGAGGGGGGGGGGGGATCTTCTAAGACGATGAATTCTTACTGTGAGGTTGGGTTGGCTGCTTCGGAGGATTCCGTCTTGCCCGTAGTGAGACTCCACATACCCAGGGGACACGAGATCCCTGCGACGCACAATTGGAGACGCAGCGTAAGCCGCACGCGCAGACAGCCTCACACGGAGGAGCAACCCGTAAGCGCACACATTCGACCACGTGCGCTGTTACGCACAGATGCACATTGTTCGAAAGAATATCACAGATGTAAGAATCACGACATTGCTAAAATATGAGCAAGGTTTAGAGAAGATAAAACATGTTACCATGCTCATTTGTAGACTTTCATTAGCAGCACAGGAAACTAGTTAAAGATTTAACACCTCGATTGCATTTGGAACAATTTTGTGAAGTCCTTTGTTTCTCCAGGTGAGAGTCCATGGAGATTGACCGTCTCTTTTGCGAGAGCTCATGAATGCAGTTCCATGCTGTGGCACCTGCATCACGATGACGATGATGCCAGTGGACATTTTAAAAGGCCACTACCAGCCGAGCAAATGATGGATGCCTCATACACATTTTAGAGCACAAACACCGACTGTGGAAATTGCAGAATTGATGTCAAATTGTGTGGCACTTTCAGCTTTTAGAATGTTATTTTTTCATGACGAGGAATGCAGGGCGTCGTTATACACGACAGTATTCATGGCAGACATGGGTGTCCTGCAGGCATGCCAAATACGACACGTTATTATTAGATTACATTCACACGAAGAATGTTTTAATGAATATTATGGGCGTGCGTGATGTCCTGGTCTATCGCGTGGGTGCTGCCCTGTGCTTTAAGGCAGCGCTGTTGACGAATGTTTTGAGTTGCATTGTTCATTGTGCTCATGCACCACTGCCAATGCAGCAGCAGCAGCACCAAATCACTTTTGTTGTTTAACCCCATTGGGTGTTTACATTTCTCCAAACCCGGTCTGGATCGAACGCGAATCGCGAGTGGCTGCACACAGATGCCCTGAAACATTTCCACACGCAACGACCGTCGCGCGTCCGCACTTTGCAGGAGACTCGAATAAAGTGAATACACAGCGCACTTTCACGGTGTTATATTTAACCAAAGTTAAGATATTCTTTGAAATAATGTGTTCCCGTGGGGGGTAATTAGGGTGAGAACCGAGAAAAGGAGAACGTTTCGAAGCAGGGCAGAATATCGCGGTGAAAGCGGAGAATGAATAGAGAATTAATGAATGTAACAAAGCAGTCGTGTCGGCCAGCTAAACAAAACGCCTCCGGCGACTCCCGTTACAACTCGTGATGAGCCGTCTAGACGCGTGCTTCCCCTCCCGGTGCGCTGTGGCAAAGTGGCACGGGGCGCGCCACCATCCCCACTCCTCCTCCACTCTCTGTGGGTCGCGTACGCAGCAGCAGCAGCAGCCGTCAGTTGCCACCCTGGGCCCTCTCAACTCTACGCATCGAATAATACGATGCATTCATGAATCAACTGAATTATTTGCACAAATATGGTAACGATAACAATAACAACAAAAACTAGAAGCAATGTAAATGAGAACAAAAAACAGACAAATCCAATTAAATAATGACCTCGAATCACAACCATTCGTTGAATACCCGTGTGCCCACGGGTAAGTCAACCAGTGAATGTAATTAATTAGATCAATTGAAAACACCGCCGCCCTGTTTTAATCAGGCTATCAGCAGATTAAGGGATACTGAATATTGTGATTGGACCGGGCCAAGACACGAACGAAATTGCTTTGCCCGTCTCCTTTCGGGATGAAATGAATGCCATGTGGTGGCTTTTTCATCATCACCCTAAACTCTGAGCACAGCTGTCGGCCAGGTGTAGCACAGACAGAGAGGCCTAACCTCTGAACCCATGGCAACATCCACACTCTCCCGGTGTTTGCCCTTGACGACAGCCCACGTGGCAGTGAATCCGCACATGCTCCATCGCAGCTGTTGCTCGCAAAGCGGCGAGGTGGTTTATTACGAGGGGCTGCTGAACCAAAAGCCTTCCTTCTGTTTTTCTTGTCCTCTAAGCTGAACGATTCACAGTGTTCAAGGGCAATGCCTTTGGCGCAGGAGCGAGCGATTCAGGGGAAGGGATAGCCTCGAGAAACGAGTGCTCGTTACTTTGTGCAGCGTTGGACGTTGCCAGCCGAAACTCGTATCGCCGTGCGGAATAAGTTTAGAAGAGTTTTTGTGAGGAAAGTGCACTTGCCCCATTGCATACCAAGCAGAGAGTGTGCCACCGTCTGGGTCTCGAGTCCAGGCACCGTTTGGGAGCAACTGATGCACGCGAGCAGGCGTCAATGTTGACATTCACGCGCTGATCGGAAAACCGCGACGTTTTTCTGGCAAATGCTGAACACGCGACACCCACACAGCCTCCGAAACAATAACGCCACAGCTGTTGATGTTACAAGACGCAATGCGTTATGGGATCTATTTTTTTAAGTGTCACGGTGGCTTGTTGCAACAAGGTCACGTTTGAATTTGGGAGTAAGAGTGTCGTCATTCAAATTCAATGTATTACTTAGCAAACATTGGATAATGTCGAATTAAAAAAATAAGCCATGTTTGCTTGTTTATTGCGGCCTCCTTGGCTGTGAAACTGGAGAGTGCTGCACATAGCAGGGCAAGTGTCACACACAGGTCACCGACAATAACACAAGTCGTGACGCTACATTTATGATGTATGCTAGGCAATAGTAGTCTTTCTCAGATCACCAGCATCGCATGCTGGTTGGGTGTGGATTCCAATCACTTGTGCTTCTCAGCATGAGCATGGGGGCGATTGCTTTGTTTGATAAACGGCTCTTGTCTGAGCACAGTGGCGTTCTAAGCATGAATGAGGCCACGTGGCACTTAAACCAATTACACAGCACATCTGATGTTCGATTATGAAGAATACTCCTAAAAAATAGGACCTGATGATATCGATTCTTAGTGGAAAGGAGAACGCATTTAAACAATGTCACCATTCAACTTTTACGCACAACAGTTGTGTGCTGGCTAGCATAACATCTCAATGCTTCATTGTGAAGATGCCGTGGCTTGAGCGGGCTCTTCTGCTGCTGCTGCTGCTGCTGCAGCTGCGCTCGACATCACAGGCGGCTGTCGTCAGCGAACAGGCAAAAGACCCCCACCGGACGCTCCAAACTTTTGCGAGCCCCTCACCGGATGACGCTCTCGTTTCGCTGGTGGACTGGCGGCGCCAGGAATCTCGGCACATCTGGCAAGGAAACCCGAGCCGACGGCCCCGCGGAGGAGGAGCCGGGCCCTGCGCCGCGCCGCATCAGTAGCAACCGCCGCGTGCTCCAGCGAGTCGACGCGGCTCACCCCCCCCCCCCCAGCGCCACTAAAACGTCGTTTGTCAGTGCCACGACGGTTAGCGTTCAGTGACCGCTTCACCCCGATGCCAAATTAGAATTTTAAATCTGCCCGTGACTTCACCCCTTTTATCAATGCCGGCGGGGTAGTGCGGCGAGCGGAGCAACGTGCGGTGCGGTGTGCGGTGTAGAGCAGCGCGTGCAATGGTGCCCGACTGCGCTACCGCTCCTCCTTGCCGACCAATGTCACGACACATGAAACTGGCAAGGACCCCATCCCTCGCCGCTGTTGCCCGCCACTCACACACTGCAACACTGCTTCACAATCACAATTCACGCAATGAACCCACCTCAACGAAAGCCCTTATGCACGAATCGAGCCCCACATCGCAATCGTAACCGCTGTTCCTCAGCTTTAATTCTCGTGCACACCAGCCACTAAAAACACATTCCTACTGCGGAGGGAGCTGGTAGGAACGTTAGATTGCTCGGTCAATGGCCAGGGTCAATGGTGGTCTGGCGTATTCCGCAAATATGCC